TTAGCGGTTTAGGGTTTAGGGATTAGGGGTTTAGGGGTTTGGGGTTTAGGGCAAGTTTAGGGGTTTATGGGGTTTAGGGAGTTTCGGATTGATTTCTTTCACAGCGTGTGCAGCTCTTCAACTCTTTAGCTCTGAGTAACTCCGCCGGTACCCCAATATAATATAGGGGCCTTAATCATAATTAGAATAGGGTTGGGGGGGTATCTTATTCCATATAAGTATAATAAGGAGCCCCCAAAAAATAGTAGAGGTACTGATTTTGGTCCCTATATTAGTCCAGCAGATCTGGAGTCCAAATGCACCGGTACCTTGGGCAACTCCCTACGAAGCTATGGGATGTTTCGGGTTGCGATCCTGAATCACGATAAGCATTCCTAGTGGCAGGATAGCGAACTTTGTTCTAACCGAAAGTGTATGTTATAGTGACAGCTTCGAGCGATTCCAGTGTGAACATGGAAAGGAAATCGAGGTGTGCTTGCACTGAGTGCTGCGCCCACTGCTGCGGCGCCAACATCGTCCACAGCAGCATGTGCGCTCCTGAGGAACTGTCGCAGAGCGTTCCGGTTGCGACTTAGGTTTTGGGAGGACGTCTCACTACAAAGCAAGTGCACATGGATGTTTCAGTGTCGGTGCATGCGCAACTCGTCATGCTCCTCAGAGCTTGTCTACGGCACGCGGGCGTTGTGCGCCGCTGCTACCTCTTTGCACGGTGTCCGTTCTCAGCCAGAAGCCACAACCCGACCCATTTGCGGAGACAAGCACGCTCAGAAGCTCCGAAATCGGAAATATCCGCAAACCCACCGTCCTTGTCTGTATTCTTTCTGTCCCGCAAAGAAGGAGCCAGCTCCCATGTGTCGCGGCTGCTCTGCACTGTGGCAGGCCTTGAAGGTGTAGTACACCTTAGCACCAACATACTTGCAGAAAGCTAGGGCGTGGGTCTCGAACCTCTTGTTAGATAATTTAGGAGCCTTGCTGATTAGACTAGGGTTTTAGGGTGTAGATATCTATCTATACATATTATATATATATAT